GAATCTATCTGGGGATTGGTCCTGCTTTGAGCAGGGGGTTGGACTAGATGACCTCCTGAGGTCCCTTCCAACCCTGATATTCTAGGATTCTAAAGTGAGAGCAGCTTGCTAGTGAGGGCTGAGTAGCCCTCAGATGAACTATGGCAGCAGCCAACCCCAAGAAAAGGCTTGGGCTGAATTTTGTCTTGCTTCATTTGGGATTTATTTTGTGACTCACTAGAATTAAACCCCAGGAAGTAAACTGCATGGACTTTGAGTGTAGCAAGGTGAGCGCTCTCAGACCGATAGTACACCAGACAGTTATACTGGCTTCAGTGCAGTCATCAGTTCATCTCCCCATGTTTATCCAACATCTACTAGAAAGAGAAGGGCCAAATCTTCCAGCGGTGTAAATTAGGATAGTAACATTGAAATCAATGGGGTTAGGCCATTTATACCAGTTGAGGATCTCGTCCAGGAACGCACAGTTTTTGATGTGTGCGCTATATAGATAAAATAGTTGAGATTTGTATAAAATAATTATATACACACTAATTAGAATATATGTAGGCACATTCAAGTTACCTTGAATGTAATATTATATGCTCACTATGTTTCTCTACATTCATTTTTATCTTTACCAAAAGGTACTGATCTTTGTGTTTAACAGAAAAATACATAATGCAACATTAACCTATTCCTGTTAGTGCGACTGTGTTCATAAACAACTTAGATATAAACATTAAGAAAAACCATCAGTATTTTCTTAATAAAGTAATCTTTATATTTAGTTCACTCGAACATTTCTTCTTAACACATTTATATTCCCAGGGCAAGAGTAAAAACTAAAGTCTTGTCTTTTGGACTATGCAACAATGTACTTTCAGGAAGAGTCAAACATCATAACAAGTTTAGTGAACTTGTTATATTTAGCTTATTATTCAAATGGGATAAAGACCAATATAAAACAAATACCCATTCAGTTATGTTGGATACTTCTTAGTTAGTAACTCTAACATGTTTTACTTACTTCAAGGTTTTCACTCTCTGCAGACTCCTTTGTTTTAGAAGTAGGAGGTGGGGAGGATACAGGAGGAAGGGGACTCGCTATGATCTGGGAACTGTAAAGTAAAGAAATAAAGCATGTCTTTTACAATTAGGATTTGGGATCACACTAACCGTTAAAAAAAACCACCATGGTGTACATTCCATTTGCAATGGATATTAACTAGATTGTCCTCCATTTTTATAGGTTTCCCAATTAGCCAAATAGGCTCAACAGCTAACAATAGTGGCAACTTTCATTCCTCCAGAAAATCAAAACTTAGTTATCACGTGGTTGTAAAAAAATGAAGCATGAAAACTTCAAGCATGTGAATGATCAGAGCCTGTTTCAAGGAAGATGGTGTACGATGCTTCAGTGGCGACGCTCTCTCACTATGCCTATTAGGAGAAGCAATGTTTCTTCTCCAGAGCAGGCCACATCATCAATATGGAGTCTTGATCAGCTCAGTTTTTGCTTTGAGGGACTTCCTTTCAAAGCACTACTGGGCTGGCCTCAAATCAGATTCATGGCAATCTCACTAGAAGAGGTGAGATGCATTCTTCACATTCCCAGTGAATTGTGATTTGCAGGCAAATCTGATTTTAGTCTGCACCTGGTTTTAGTCTGAGGCAGTAGATTTTAGCCTTTCAGTGACACTGCTCTGCCACACAGATTATTTGAAGCCAGGGAAGTGGTCTGCCTTCCTTCCTCCTTTGGGGCTCTGAAAACACCCTCTCAAGAGTAGGATATCAAAAAGAATCACCTAATTTGAATGCTTAAGTGACAAGTCAGTATTGAAATGACTACAAGGCACCTTAAGCACAGACACTAAGTGCCATAAAGTTTTCAAAAACATCTAAGTCATCTAACACTTAGGAGCTTAAGTCCAATTTTCAAAAGTGACTTGGGCACTTAAGTTCCTTTGGTGCTTTTGAAAATATAACTCCAAGAGAATTGGGCTTAAGCATTTAACAACTTGAATCTGGCTGGAAGGGCAGGAACACCGAGAGGGATACTTGACAATGCTTTATATCAGTTCAGATATAAGGATTGGAGCAGCAACTGCACAAGCATACCTGTGGGGACCTGCTTTGGCAACTACAGTCAAGATGGAACCAATTGGAAGATTTAATGTGCAGGATTTAAACTTAGAGGTTTGTGCATGACTGCTGGCAATGGGACTACCTCATGCTCCACCCAATACTACTGCTCTAAGGACTAAAGTACTTCAGGAGCTTAGGGAGTTTCTGTGTGTCTCATACTAAGGAGTTGAAACGCAGGAGTGAAAATCTTGGTGGATGATATATTTAAAGAAAGGCTTTTCCTCTATGGTAAATAGGTAGGGAACCCGGACAATGGAGGCTGTCCTTCTGTGAAGGACTGAGAAAATATCATAGGTGATGAATAATCACACAGTAATTTTCCTGTATTGCAGGGAACAGGCATTCACAGGCCTCAGTACTTCCTTGCCTTCTATTTCTGTTTTCATAAAAAATAAGTATCCAGGACCTTTGCAAACTTACATTTTTAGACCAAGTATCATCACAACACAAAGTTTTGTGCTAGATACCCTCAGATGACTGGGTTCTTGCTAGCCAGACACATACATATTTTAAGCAAACCCAACCTATTTCCAAAAAAAACTTTCTACCAAAAATTCTCACCAAGTTCAATTACTAGCTAGATGTATTTAAAGTCAAAGAACCCAACAATTACTTTAATGTCTCAGGAATGGCACTATGAGACTTTCAACCAAAGAGACCCCATAGCACCCTCAGAGCTTTAAGTCTTCAACATGGTAGTGACTGGAAACATCATGAAGGTCTCATAAATAAAGCAAGAGTAGCAACCTTGCAATATAAAACTTAGTATATGCTAGTGACAAAACTGGAGCATGCCTGCAAGAGAGAATCAGTATTTTACTTCTGATGCCAATATTCCTTGTTTCTTCCCTTCTCAAAACAAAAGTCCCTTACCTGTCTATTTCTGCAGCATTCGTTCCTGATGCTGCCATACTCTCGGACATTGAACCCTGACTGTCCCTCTTATTTGGCTCTAATCCATTCTTTATGTCATCAAAATTTTCATATTTCAAGGCCTGGACCAACTGCAACAGGTACATCAACAAATCCTTGGAAAGAGATAACACAGAGGAAAAAAAATAGATACACAGAGATGAGCTGTTGGATGTTCAGCACTTTTGAGAATTACACCATTTATTCACAAGCCTAAATCAGGGTTTAGTGATCAGTAAAGAAATGGAAGCAGGAACTGAGTCATGGCTAGTGGAGGGTAGAAAGAATGGTCATGAATATAACTTGGCACACAGGCGGTTTCTATTTCTTGCATTTTTTTTTCATTATTAAAAAGCCATAATAGCAATTTAAATACACATCTCAGGGTGTATATTTCTGTTTTAGAGTGGCTAATGTTAGTCTTCCTCATACCTTATTGTAATCAACTTCCACTATCCGTTTAATGTAGCCATGTTGGTCTTATTTAATGAAAATTGATTAAACTATTTGCTTTAATGTGTTTGACTTCCATCTGTAAAAGTTGGACAGAGCCTGGGACTTGGCTATCTAATGCTGCCTCTTCCCTTATGCATCATAAAAGCTAAAACCAACAAAGCAATATAACAGTCCCTAGATTTGAATTCTTAAGACAGGGTTTTTAATTAATTATTACCTAAGGAATTTCCCCCCTCTGATGGTCTACCAGAACCTGTTCAGTGATCTCCAATGCATGGTGCAAGGAAGGTCTTTTTGGTCAAGAATATTAACGGGGGTATTACTGAGGGAGTCAGTTTTACTGTAGGTGGGGTGCTAACTAGGAGGCAATTAGTGTTCCCTATTGTGAGCTGATCAGTTTTATAGGCTGCTTTTAAGAAAATGTGTTATGCATCCAAAAGGCACAATCATGAGTGCATAAAATTCCCTATCATAAAAATAGGAGGCAGATGTAATATGCATATTAAAACTTAGATAAAAGATTAGATTCCATTAAGTTTCCACCACTTACTGAGTGTTTTTACATGGGTTTTCAAAAAGAAATCCCCCTCTATCTCAAATGTTTTATCTCATTTCTAGCTAACAGAATATCTTTCTGCACCTTCTTCCTCAAAGGAATGCAATGTCAGGACACACCTGCTATTTACAAAATAGATTGCTAGAAGTATCTGGTATACTATTCAACAATGGAGCAGTTAATTTTGAAGTGAACAGGTTAGCATCAAAACTGATCTCTTGGGTTGTGGGGAGAAAGTATGATGGTTTCAGTCTGCATGGTTGAAGACATCTAATACAGAGTATTGATTTGCATTGTGAGAAGTTTTGCTTAATAAAGCTAGAAGTTTTATTCTCTCTAAAAATGGACACTTATATTGAACAGCTTCACAGTCAACCTTTTATTATCTTTCATAATTACCTTGCTATAAAAGGTAATAAATATTCAGGTAGTAGCAAACACTATGGAAACTGTACATTTCTCCATGTACTACATTAGGTCCTTTGATTTTCTCATAGGTGAAAGTAAAGTACACACATGGAACAATAGAGTCCTTTAATACCTCATCATCTGCCTGTTGCAACCTGGCAACAGCATACCGCCGTACTGTTGGATTGGTGAAATGAGATGATAACAGTTCCAGAGAATCTTCTACATCCATTGGCTTCCATTTCCCCAGTAGCTCCAGTGCCTGCTTTGCCTCCTGGGGTAGGTCCCAGTTGACACATTTCAAGAACTTTGTCAAAGCCTAAACAAAGAAAATTAGAAAAATTGACTATTCCTAAGCAATTACAGAAATCAATGAACTGGAATATTTAAAGAGTTACATATTTTAGTTTAAGTCAAGACAAGACATGGGGACAGATTCTTATTGCAATTATATTAGCATAAACTGGGGGAATCCAATTGAAGTGAATGGCAATATTCTGGGCAACTAAACTTGTGTGACCATACACCAGTGTGAATCAGATCTGTGTTCTATTCCCAGTTATGCCACTGACTTGCTGCATGATATTGACCAAGGCACTTAATCTCACTATGCATTATCGCCCCCACATCTATAAAATGGGTGATAATTCTCACCTACCTTGTGGGGGTGTTGTGAAGATTAATTCTTCAATTTTTGTAGGGCCCTCTGAAGTTAGATTAAAGTGCTACAGTGCAAGAGAATGACATCTTCTGTAGCAGCAATCTCAAATTCACAATTTATTCTTACATTTGTAAGTTCAACTTTCATGATAAAGAGATTGCACTAGAGTACTTGTATTAGGTGAATTGAAAAATACTATTTCTTTTGTTTTTTACAGTGCTAATATTTGTAATCAAAAATAAATATAAAGTGAGCACTGTACACTTTGTATTCTGCATTGTAATTGAAATCAATATATTTGAAAATGTAGAAAACATCTCAAAATATTTAAATTGGTATTCTAGTGTTTAACAGCATGATTAATCGTGCAATTAATTTTTTTAATTGCATGATTAATCATTATACATTTTTTTAATTGCTTAACAGCCCTACTTAGGCTGTTCTTTTTCAGCCACTTAATCTCCCTATGTTCCAGATCACATTGAGTGCTAGATTGTACCCTTTGCTTAAGGCACTGTAACGGGGTGGTTACCCCGCTCCTGCCCTGAAGGGCTTAAAACAGCCCTGGGGGAAGGTTGTGGCTGGGAGCTGCTAAGCTGGGCTGATTGGGAAGTGGCTGGGCCAACCCCAATCAGGCCTCAGCAGGCCCTATATAAAAAGGCTGTGAGCCCAAGGCCAGGCAGTCTTTCTCTGCAGCGAGCTAGAAACAGCGTACCTGAGTGGAGCAGGGCTGGGGACAGGCTGAGGAGCTGGGGAGCTCCAGCCTGGAAAGCCCCAGGCTGCGGCCTAGTAGGACGCCAAGGGGATACTGGGGGTTGCAGAGGGCAGCCCAGCGGTAGGCCAAGGCAGCAGGTCCAAACCCAACCTTGCCTGTGATGAGTGGCCTATACTGCAGTCTGCCCCAGGGAGCGGGGGGTAGTTGGTGACTGGCAGTGCCTTATTCTGAGGCGAGGTAGGGATAGTGGGTGGGGGTTCCCCGGGGAGGGGAGACCCTAGTACTGAGGGGTGTACTGCCAGGTAGGGTGACCAGATCAGAGAGGCGAAATATCGGG